GCAAAATTCGAATGGCACCGCCATGCGACGCGGTCGAACACGCACGCAACAGACGGCCATTGACTACGGTCTGTCGGCGATGTCAATGTTCATGCTTTGGATGACCGCATTGATCNGATAGTTTAAAATACCCGACGGGTAATAAAAGCACCCAGAATGATAGTTTAAAATACCCGACGAGTAATAAAAGCATCCAGAATGACAGTTTAAAATACCTGACGAGTAATAAAGGCACCCAAAATGACACTTTAAAATACCCGACGGGTAACAAAGTACCCAAAAAATTGGAAATTTGGCCGCTAGAAAAAAATTAGTTTGTTTAGTTTTACAAAGGCCACTAGAAGACCCGTTGATGGTGCAACAACGGCGGCAAAATTCGAATGGCACCGCCACGCGACGCGGTCGAATACGCACGCAACAGACGGCCATTGACTACGGTCTGTCGGCAATGTCAATGTTCATGCTTTGGATGACCGCATTGATCGCGGGTCGTCTAGTCGCATACTTGAAGTTGCCCGAAATTTTGGGTAAGTAGGTTTTTCTAACCAGCTGTTGGGTAAGTTTTTTACCCGGCTGTCGGGTAATCGCAAATCGCGTGAGCTTCGGCTTATGCATCCGAACGCACACATGAGATGCAACCGAGAACAAAGTATACGTATCACAGATTAAAAAATATCGAAGATGCAGTAACACCTCGTGTAATTCCTCACGAAAAAATATTTTTTCATGTGAAAAATGTGAAAATTACCGGAAAATTTGGAAATTTCCGGAAAGTTTGGAAATTTCCGGAAGCTCCGATGGCGATGTGCGGCGATTTTCAGGAATTCTATTGACCGGATTGGCTTTCCGGAACATCACATTTCTGCACGAACGCATTTTTGTGGATGCCACCTTGAATAATTTCTTCCGGAAGCTGGCCTTCATTGTGATCCTGATTCGTGGTGGGATTGGACTGGAAGCAAACGCTTTGCGGCGAATGCGTGTGAGTGAGTTGGCGCCGTTCCGGACGAAAAATTCTTGCAGATTCCACTGAAAATTTTCCACTTCCAAGCAAATTTTCCAGTTTTCCATTCCATAAAAATGAAAAATCCCCCTAAAACCTCTCTATCGGTCACCACCAAGTGGTCACATAAACAGATACCGGATCCTAAGGTCTCGGATCTCTAACAGACCTTCATAGCTAGCAGCAGACAGCATCGTAACCACAGAATCACTTCATTCAGCCAGCCATCCCCACGCATCTGTCCATCAATAACCACAAAATTGCGCACGTTTTGGTTTTTTTTGGGTTAAATTTTACCATTTTCAATTCGAATTGCGCTAGGGACAGCGGCGGTTTTTTGGGTTTTTTGGGTTAATTTTTACCATTTTCAGAATGTTATCCTTCGAATTGGTGTGCTTGCACCACTTGTTGAGGCCGCGGGCATTGCGTGTGCTTGCTGTTTTCTGTTCGATATGGGCGTTAAAATGGCTTTGACGTTCGGGTTAGTGCCGTTGCAGTGTGCCATGATAGCTCAGTCGGGAGAGCGTTAGACTGAAGATCTAAAGGTCGCCGGTTCGATCCCGGCTCGTGGCAGTTCTTTTTTGTCCATTCCTTTCCTCTTCTTTTCCAACCATCTTCAACGTATTTAGGTACATAAAGTACTCTTCTCAGTTCAGCGGACAGAATGTGACCTGAAATTTAAAAAAATCGACCTGAAATTCTAAAAATTTGACTCCATATTATAAAAATTTAACCTAAAATTAGCAAATTATTCAACAAATTACCACAAAAAATTGACCAAATCTTTCGAATCAAGTTCTGAAAAAAATTTTTAAAGGGATTTTTTAATAGAAATTTTCATTTTCATTTCAGGATAGCAAAATTTCAGGATAATATTGGCGGCCACCTCGCCTGCAGTCAGCATACCGGCAGTATTGGTACTCAACAAGAAGGGATTCGGCGTTCCAGACGGAGTGCCCACCGTGTTGTTGGTGTGTGCGGCTGTCGATAACATCGTTCTGGTGACACCCTTCAGTGTTCTCCTGGAACTACTCTTCAATGGAGGTAAATTTTTAAGGGATTTTACCCAAAAATTCAAAAATTTCAATTTCAGGATGGCAAATTTAATTTCAGGACAGGAAATTTTAATTTCTGGATTTCAGAGAAATTTCCAAAAAAATGCAATATGCCTCACTCTAACGAGACTTTTCCAAAAATTCACTTCACTCACTCACTCAATTTAATGATCGCCTTCAATGTTTAATAGTAAATTAATTTTTTATAAATTTGTGGGTAACCGAAATTTGGGTAGAGCAAAAACTTTTGCGTAATTTTTCAGGATTGCACAAAAATTCGGGTAATTTTTTCGGGTAATCAACAATTTCGGTAATTTTTCTGGGCAACCAACCAATAAAACTTCCCTAGGTAATCATTAAAATAACTACAATTACTACTACAAAATTAATTATTCTATCTTTTTAGACGGTTTATACACGCAAATCGCTCTGATATTCGCTCAAATCGCTACGGGCATTGCGTTGGGCTTATTTAGTGGTAAGTTGTGGTACTTCTTTAATTTCAGATTTATAGAGTCTCTTG